AGTTTTGAGGGGGCTGACTCAAAGAAGTAGCCTAGTTTCCGTTTCGCCCACAAGCCCACAATCATTTTCCCCTCCCCTCCTTGAAGACACTCACCAAAGGAAAAGTAGCACTCACCACTGATAACGTCACTGGAAGTGAACTCTGTACTGGAACTTTGACATTTTCGCTGCTACTGATCGAAAGAGGAGCAAGTTTCTCTGGTAATTTGTTTGCGTCGATTGCAGGTGACAACTGTACAAGCCTCACAGCGGGAACCGTTATTGGAGAAGGCTGAAACATGAATACCAATGCTCTCATACATTGATATCGGCAAACGATTTGCTGTAAGGAAGCATAATGTATGTCATATAAAAGTTTCTTAAAATCAAAAGTGCCTCGGGCACTGCTCAACTCCACCCAATCGAAGACTCGGAAAATTGCGTAGGAGAATTGTCGGTTCTCCTGATCGACACGTATTTACAAATTTTGCAGATGCACCGGGTCCTTCGTTGCTTTTATTAGGCGATTCTCCGGGGTTTCTGTGGTAACAATGACTTAATAGTTATCAGCTACCAAACAAAGACAGTGCTGGATTGCCAGGTGGGCGGAAGCAGAGGATTAAGTTATTCACGCCTCCCTCGTACTCATCCTTTCCATGACGGTGAAAAAGGCGCCAAGGAGGATGCGCCCAAAACGAGGTTATCTGGTTTCGCCACCCGGATACCAAGCTGTTTCTTTAACTCATTTCTTTCAACTGCCTTATTTATTACAATGCACTATCCACCTCCGTGTTTGATTCAATAGAGAAGAGCATAGGAAATTCTCATTACATCGGCGAACGAATTCGAAAAGAAGGAGGGTCAAAAATCCAATATGACATGTAACAATAAGAAAAACGAAGAAAAAAGCTTTCATGAGAACTCCTGAATACCTTTCCAGATTCACCATTCGATGCTGTGACTGGAGGGGCGTTATCTGTGACAGTCACCTGAAACGTTTTCGTTTCTGAAAATGCTAGTCATAAAGTAGTAGTTGCAGCGATAGAAAAAACTCATGATTGTCAACAAACAGCAGGTATCATTCCTCTTGAAAGGTTAAAACACTCACACTAATGTTTTCGGAATGGGTCTTCTCTGCAGAGCTAATTGTCTGAGGGCGCGTTGTTTGAGTTGCTGACGCTAGAACGATCATAAATATGGTTATTTCCAAAAAGAGTGAACAATGGTGAACGAAAATTGAAGACTTCTTAGACACAGTTACTACTCAAAATCCATCCCCCAAGCCGCGTTAGTTTTTTTTCCCCTCTCTGCGCTCTAAGACCTAAACTGTGTCACTACTACCTTAAACAAGTGGCCTTATGCTCTGGCTGCTCATCATCTGTCTAAGCTACAGAATTTCACGACAGACTCCACCAAGAGTTCAACTAGTCACATAATCGAGAGTATATGGCCCATTTGTTTTGGATATAGGCAAGTGAGACAATGATCAAATGAGAGAATTAGACGGAATTGAACTGCCCAAGCGGTGTTAAAAAAGCTCACGTTTTCTGAATGGCTCATCTCCATAGCTGCCATTCCAGAAGCCCCGCCTCTTGTTGTATTTGCTCGAATACCATGGCCGTCCTTCCTCGTTGAACCTAAAGGAAGTAGAAACAGTTCAGGCTATGAAAAAAATTCTGAGGGCTGCTCGTCCTGGGGAGAGGGTGGTGAGAAAGGTGCAGGTCTTCCTTTCGATGAGAACCAGCGAAATGCCCTCCCCCCGTCCTTTCTTCCGAACAACAGCGCCGAATTTTGTTACAGATACAAATCGTCGACGAACGTCGTGCTAAGAATCTGAGAAAAAAAACCATGTCCTCATACATTGAAAAAACCTCACTTCGCAATACGGTCAATGGCTATCTGAGCGTCCTCCATTGCCGGGTCAACATATATAACACTTTCGAGGAACTCTGATACTACCGGCATTTCCATCACAGCTGGAATTAGTGATAAATAGATCTCACAAAGACTTTCGAATACACGCGAAGATATACCTTTCAACTCAAGAAAAGTTTCAATTGGAACAGCTGCCGTTCCTTCTCCTCTCATCTGACGAAGATGCTTTGCATGTCTCTGTTGCATCACCTCATCGGACGGAACAATAGTTACACACTAGAAAAGCAATAGAGCATAACATAAGAAAGCAGTGCCACATTAAAAATGAAACTACTTTGGAAAAGGTAAGAATGAAAATTCCATAAACCTAAACGCTTCTTTGAAATACAAACAAGCAAATTACTTAGGATACTGAAAGTGAGTCTCGAAAAATTGTGGTTTCCTGCTCGAACAAACTTTCTACGATTACTTAGGGAAGGA